TGTAAGTGAAGAAACGAAATTGTCTCAGCTACGTTCCTCGGAGCGTTTCGGCAAGCGGCACATAAAAATTCTATCCGACTCGGGAAATAATAACCGGCGATTATCGGACCACGACTGGAAGCCGATACGCCTGGCGAAAGTGTGAACGAGTTTATGCAACCGAGGGGTGCCATTATCGATGCACGCGCTCTCTCCGAAACTGACGCCCTGAAAATTTATCGCACGGACGCCCGCTGCCACGTCATCCAGCCGCGGAATATTAATAAGCGCCTTTCCTCGACCGTTCCACGCTAGGGACAATCTCGCCGACTTGAATTAATAATCTACGTTCGAAGGAAAAAAATCTGCCGGATAAGAAACGGGCGATCGGACAACGGGGCAAGTCGGTGGAGTCGGGGCCACATTCGACGGCGAGGGTGAGCCTTATTATCGTCGAACGGATTAAAATGAGTTTTCTTCGGGAGGAGAACGTCAAAGTTCGGGTTTCTTTCCCGGATGAAAAAGTTTCCTCGAGCCGGTCCCTCGCTTCGTTCGCTGACCCGGCACGCGCGCGGTCGCGGTGTGACAAAGGAACGGAGGAATGATTCTAGCCAACTCGTTGTATTTTTCGTTTTTTTGCTTTTTTTACAAAACAAACGTGTTTATTTTCTTCATGGTTCTTTGCTGAAATGGAAAGTGGCAATTAATTTAATTAGTCACGTAACAGACCGTGAATACAATATAATATATAATATATACATATATATNAAATAACTATATACAAAGAATATATACGTATATGTATACTATTGGATACAATAGTACATAAAGGTGCGTTCATTCGAGTATAATGTGTATACCGTTTATAGTTGTTTTGAACTGCAGGATCTCATCGATGATTCCAATTTGATTAAATCAATCGTAATATTTTATCGCATTTTCATCCTGTTCCTACTATAATGAGCTACAAAATATTTTACATACTGAACAAAATAAAAAATATCCCACCCCATAGTGAACAAAATAAAAAATATCCTACCCCATACTGAACTAAATAAAAAATGAGATGTATGGTTCCTATAATGAACTACAGAATATCCTATTTCGTTACAGTACACTTCCCAGAATATTTTATTATACAGTATCCTACCCCATACTAAACAAAATAAAATATAATTTCATTACCTCCCTGTAGAATACCGTACATCATACTGAACAAAATAAAATTACAATTAAACTTTTACATTCTCCCTCATTCACTGCTTGTTGTTTTGGAACTCTCTAACATATAATCATACAAGATAATGCATATCTCAAATACAGAATAACGCATAAATAATGCATAGGGCTGGCGGGCAAGGGCAGCCTCGGTTGCCCGCGGGCAATCTCGCGGGCAATTTCGCGGGCATTCAGTAGTGGGGGACCGGCCCTCGTAGTTCAGATAAGATAAGCCTGACCCTCATGAGGAATTATTATAAAATTTTTATGCAAACGGCAGACAATAATTGACTAAAAGAACTAAACTTGGAGTTCCTTTCGGACCTCATTAACCACTTGAATACATTAAATGTCAGGC